CGTTTCGTAAAAGATTGGCCGACAATCTCTTACCGATTTGTTCTAATTGAAGCAATCCTGTTACAATAAGCTGTGTATTGCATGTTACCACTGTCAATTTGAGTTAGGGAGTGTGTTTCAATTCACGATTCAAGCTAAGGTATAACAAATTGGTATCAGAGCTCGTGACGATAAAAAATGGCGAATGTTACGACGTGAAGCACAAACAATCGAATCGAGGACCTGGAGAGCAGCGTGGGTTCAATCGAAAGGAGTTTGGAGAAAATCGTACAACAAATTGAAGAAATGAGGAATGAATTTGCAAGTCGAACAAATGTCACGAATTCGTCAGACGAGGAGGCGATTAGCAGATTTGAATGAGACAGAAGCCGCAACCAAGGAAGTCGATTCTCAGCAATGAAGGGTCGCAAGTTAGAGATACCGGTTTTTGATGGCAGAGACCTAGATGGGTGGATTTTAAGAGCTGAAAGATATTTCATGTTGAATCAGTTGAGTCAAGAGGAGAAGATTGATGTGTCGTTTATTTCTTTCGAAGGAGATGCATTGAAGTGGTTTCAATGGGAACACAAGCGACATCCGAATACCGGATGGGAAGATCTTAAACACTTGTTGTTAAGACAATTCAGATCGTTAACAGCAGGTTCGCTGTGTGAACAATTTTTGTCGGTAAGGCCAAGAAGGATCGATCGAAGATTACAGAAGGAAGTTCGTTGAATTCGCGGCACCTTTGGATGGGATTCCGGAGCAAGTTTTTTTAAGTCAGTTCATTAATGGATCGGAGGAATCCATTAAAGTGGAATTAAGACTTATGGATCCATTAACTCTCAGTGAAGCAATGGAGATAGCCATGAAGATCGAATTGAAGAACAAGGTACTAGCAAAAGAAAGAAATATGGGTTATAGCAAGAAGACAGGTATGTTTTTTCATTCTAATGAGGATTGGAGAAGCAATGTTTCTAATCATTCTTCTAATAGTGTCGGTAATTCTGTTAATTCACCGACATTTACAAATAAATCAGTTCCTGGCTTTTGGCGTTTGTCCGATCAAGAGGTACAACAAAGAAGATCGTTGGGTTTGTGTTATCGTTGTGATGAGAAATATGCACCGGGTCATAAATGTAAAAAGAAAGAGATGAATGTGTTGTTGGTTCAGGAGGAGTTATTCGATGATACCGAACCGGAGACAGAGGAAAGAATCTTTAATGCGGCGGAAGTAACCGATAAAGTGGAGGTGCACTTGAATTCAGTGGTGGGTCTTACTATCCAAAAACGATGAAGATGGAAGGAAGAATTGGAGGACAAAAAGTTGTGGTATTAATTGATAGCGGTGCAACACATAATTTCATATCCTACGATCTAGTAAAAAGACAGAAGTTAAAAGTGGAAGCTACATGAGAATACACTATTACCTTGGGTTCCGGAAATATGGAGAAGGGAAATGGCATTTGCAAAGGGATAGCGTTGTTTTTACCAGAAATCGAGACAAGGGAAGATTTTCTTCCTTTGGGTTTGGGTAATAGTGATGTGATCTTAGGGATGCAATGGTTGGAATCTTTGGGGGCAACGTACGTTAATTGGAAGTTACAAGTAATGAAATTCACTTGCGGGGGAAAATCGGTCACCTTAAAAGGTGATCCATCTTTGGGACGTTCGATGGTGTCGTTGAAAGCGATCGGAAAGGTGATCAACCAAGAGGGACAGGGCGTGTTGGTGGAATTGGGCACTTGTTCGGTATTTTCGGAGGAAATTGCGGAAGCAAATGTTGTTTTGGAGCCATTACTAAGAGAATTCGAATCGGGCTTTAACATGCCGAGGGGTTTACCACCGGAAAGAGGAAGGGAGCATGGTATTGTATTAAAAGAAGGGACTGAGACGATTAATGTTCGGCCATACCGCTATCCTCATTATCAGAAAGATGAGATTGAGAAGTTGGTAAAAGAAATGCTCGAGGCGGGAGTTATTCATCCGAGTATGAGTCCTTTTTCTAGTCCGGTATTGTTGGTCAAGAAAAAAGACAGAAGTTGGAGGTTTTGTATCGATTACCGAGCCTTAAATAAAGTGACCATTGTTGATAAGTTCCCAATTCCCGTGATTGAAGAACTTTTGGATGAATTGTACGGGGCAACCGTATTTTTCAAACTCGATCTGAAATCGGGTTATCATCAAATTCGAATGAAAGAGGAAGACGTGTATAAGACGGCTTTTCGAACCCATCAAGGACATTATGAATTTTTGGTAATGCCCTTTGGTTTGGTGAACGCTCCAGCAACATTTCAGGGGTTAATGAATGAGGTCTTCAAGAATTATTTACGAAAGTTTGTCTTGGTATTTTTTGATGACATTTTAGTCTATAGTAAAACATTTGAAGAACATCAAATGCATTTACGGAAGGTGTTGGAGGTCCTTGGTCAACATCAGTTGTTTGCAAACAAAAAGAAGTGCGAGTTCGGTCGTGATCGATTGGGGTATTTGGGTCACATAATTTCAGCAAAAGGAGTAGAAGTTGACCCATCAAAAATTGTTGCGGTTTTGGACTGGGTGGAACCGAAGTCGGTAACGGAATTGAGAGGGTTTTTGGGGCTGTCCGGTTATTACAGAAAGTTCATAAAAGGGTACGGTATCATTGCCAAACCTCTTACCGACCTCTTAAAAAAGAATCAGTTTCAGTGGACTACGGAAGCTCAATGTGCGTTTGACGAATTGAAGAAAATGCTATCTGCAACTCCGGTGTTACGCCTTCCTGATTTTTCTAAAGATTTCGTAGTGGAGACGGATGCATCGGGTTATGGATTGGGAGCGGTCCTTATGCAAGATGAGCAACCAATTGCGTATTTTAGTCAAGCGTTGGGGCTAAGGGCGAAACAAAAATCGGTTTATGAGAAAGAATTAATGGCTATTGTGTTGGCGATTAAAAAATGGAGACCGTATTTGTTGGGAAGAAAATTTTTAGTCCGTACCGATCAGCAAAGTCTTCGTTTTCTGTTAGAGCAATGGGTGGTGGAACCGGAATATCAGAAGTGGGTTAGTAAACTACTGGGTTATGATTTCTCAATTGTATACAAACCAGGTAGTTTCAATCAAGCTGCAGATGCATTGTCTCGTAAGATCGATTCGGTAGAATTGGCCAATATGGTTAAATTTTTGGTGGAGAAATTGGGATGACTTGAAAGAAGAAATTGTTGGTGACAGTTTTCTTAATCGCATTAAAGACGATCTGGTGTGTGGGAGGGCCGAGCACAAGGGGTTCGAAATTCAACATGAGTTGTTATTGTATAAGGGTCGTTTGGTTATCCCTCGTTTATCCAAAATGATCCCGTTAATTTTTGATGAATTTCATGGGTCTCCTATTGGCGGGTATACAGGAGAAGATCGGACGTATCAACGGATTTCAGCAGAAGTCTTTTGGATGGGAATGAAGAAAGATATAGTTGAAATGGTAAAAAATTGCGAGGTTTGTCAGAGGAATAAAAATCTTAGTGGTTGTCCGGCGGGTCTCTTGCAACCATTAGCTTTACCAGAGAAAGTTTGGGACGAGATTTCTATGGACTTCATTGAAGGCCTACCTCGATCAAACGGTATGAGTTCGATTATGGTGGTGGTAGACAGGCTTAGCAAATACGCCCATTTTGTTGGGTTAAAACACCCTTTTGATGCTCAAACGGTGGCCGAAGCATTCGTTAATAATGTAGTAAGATTGCACGGGATTCCTCAATCGGTGGTTTCGGATAGAGACAAGGTGTTCCTCAGTCAATTCTGGAAGGAGTTGTTCCGTTTGCAAGGAACGAAGTTGAAGTTTAGTTCGGCGTACCATCCGCAGTCAGACGGACAGACCGAGGTAGTGAACCGTTGTTTGGAACAATATTTGAGATGTTGGGTGTCATCTACACCTAAACAATGGTGCAAATGGCTTCCATGGGCTGAACTGTCGTATAATACATCCTTTCATACGGCCCTTAAAGTGTCTCCTTTTAAGGTATTGTATGGAAGGGATCCCCCGCCTCTACTACGTTACAAAGCAAATTCTTCGAGAGTACAGTCGGTAGATCAAGAGTTGACTGATAGAGAAGAAATGCTTGATGAAGTGAAGTTGCACTTACTTAAAGCTCAATTTCGTATGAAACAGTATGCTGACTTGAAACGAAAAGAAGTGGAGTTTGTGGTAGGTGATTGGGTGTTCTTGAAGTTGCGTCCTTACAGACAGAAGTCGTTGGTACTTGGTAATAGTCCTAAACTTCTTGCTCGTTTTTATGGACCGTATAAAGTAATGGAACAGATTGGGAGTGTGGCGTATCGTTTGGATTTACCGAGTTCAGCGAAAATTCAACCGGTTTTTCACGTTTCCCAATTAAAGAAGGCAGTGGGAAGTTGTATTTCGACTCAAGAATTTCCAACTTATATTTCTGAAGAGTTGGTAATACAGGCTGTTCCCGAAGATATTTTGGATGTGAGACCCTTGTCGAATGGTGACGTGGGTCAATTTGAAGTCTTGGTAAAATGGAAAGGAATGTCGGATTTTGAAGCTTCCTGGGAGAATCTTGAAGCATTTCTTCAGCAATTTCCGGGTTGTCACCTTGAGGACAAGGTGAATTTTTTGGGGGGGAGTATTGATAAACCTCCTTTGAGGTTTACTTATAGAAGAAGAAATCAGATTAGTAGTGTAGCTGCTGTTTCTTAGTACTCGATTAAGGGAGGGTAGTTTGGTAATTGGGTTGTGCTTAAATAGGGAGCTGTCAGTTGAGGCCGATTATTCTGTTTTGGTTGTTTTCTGTGAATTAGTTGAGAGCGAGAGCTCAGGGAGAGGACCAGACCTCTCAAACGTCTGGTAATTGTACCAATTCCGTTTCGTAAAAGATTGGCCGACAATCTCTTACCAATTTGTTCTAATTGAAGCAATCCTGTTACAATAAGCTGTGTATTGCATGTTACCACTGTCGATTTGAGTTGGGGAGTGTGTTTCAATTCACGATTCAAGCTAAGGTATAACACATGACTAGAGAGTGTTGAATAAATTTCTTGTTTATGCAGTATGGGTTTTACTTTAATAGCCTCTTGCTGCGTGGTTTAACGGGTTGTTATAGTGGATTCCTAGTTCAACTTGTGAGTTTTTTCATTTCGTTTCTATTCATGTGGCTGACATCTAATTTTGAGAAGCTCAACTAATTTTGTGAGTTGAATATTGTAAAAGCACCTTGGACAAAAGGATCAAGTCCTGCCGACTGATTTTTGGTTGTGAACATGGATTTGCGGACTACAAATATTTACCATGTTTGATGAGGAGGCATGCGTATCTGTTCTGTTTGTAATTTTTATTTTCCTCTTTCTAGATTGCTCTAATCACTAATATAATTTTCTTCTGTAGGTGCCTGGAGGTACAATGCGGGATTCCTTCCTTGTAAATGGTGTTGCCTTTAAGAAGACGTTTTCATATGCGGGCTTTGAACAACAACCTAAGAAGTTTCTAAATCCAAAGATACTCTTACTGAACATTGAGCTGGAACTAAAATCAGAAAAGGAAAATGCTGAGATTAGGTATGTGAATTTGGTAGTCTCGTTTTCCATGTCTTTTTGCTTATTGTAGTTGACATTAGTTCCACCTTGTTATAGACTTTCAGATCCATTGCAATATCAGTCAATAGTGGATGCAGAATGGAATATCATATATGACAAATTGGACAAGTGTGTGAAGAGTGGTGCAAAAATAGTTTTGTCGCGTCTTGCTATTGGTGATCTCGCAACTCAGGTGACGCTTTTAATTTGACCCATTGCAACCCTGAATCCTGGTTTTGTTCTGCAACTGGAATTCAAGCATTTTATGCTATGCATTTGTGAGGTGTCATTTTCAACAGTAAATTTATTTAACCCCAATTAGTCAGGGTTGGCTGATAACATGTAAATCTGTGCATATCTTGGTTGCCATCCTTTTATACAGCATCAATTTATCGGCCGATGTAAAAAATATTACCCATAGAGTGTTGTCATCTATAAAATTAGCTAAAAACTTAAGATTCAAACTGTAGCTTGCAAGGCTTGATTTCTTCAATTAGAATGATCGGGGTTTCAATAAAAAACACAGTTTGAGGTCATTTTGTGGCCATGCCAGTAGCAGATCAGTAGTTACTAGAAAACATGTTACCTGAGTGGTTTTCTTGTCATCAGTATTTTGCAGACTGTGATATCTTTTGTGCTGGCCGTGTTGCTGAAGATGATCTGCATCGTGTTGCAGCTGCAACTGGTGGTACTGTACAGACTTCTGTCAACAATGTTATAGATGAGGTTACACATTTGCTTTTTAACAATTCTATATAATTGAACGTACCAGTCTTCATGTCATTCTTGTAATTATATCACACTTTGTTTGGTTGTGCCATCATTTCTTGGTTTTTCTAAAATGTTTTTTCTCTTATTTGGAAAGGTTCTCGGGTCGTGTGAGGTTTTTGAAGAGAAGCAAGTTGGAAATGAGCGGTTTAACATATTTAATGGATGTCCTTCAGGCCAGACGGCCACTATTGTTCTACGAGGTGGAGCTGATCAGGTTCCTTATTGTCACAAGAACATTAGACCATTTTGTTAAGTTTTCTAAATCTCAATTCTAATTATCTCCGATATTCTGATAGTTTATTGAGGAAGCAGAGCGGAGTTTACATGATGCAATCATGATTGTGAGGAGGGCCATGAAAAATTCCACCGTCGTTGCTGGTGGTGGTGCTATCGATGTGAGTTCGTCAATACTCTTTACGTAGTGCGACCTACAAGCTAAGTGATGCATATGACTTAACATTCTTGTTAAATTGCAGATGGAGATAAGCCGGTACCTAAGGCAACATGCACGGACGATAGCTGGAAAATCACAGCTATTTATAAACTCTTTTGCAAAAGCACTTGAGGTAGGTTTTTATCTCGGGACTTCCCAGATTGGGATCATGGAAACGATAGTGATTGATTGTGGCAATGATTTGTATCCTCACCTTAAGAGGCAAGATGTTTTTTTTAGGGAAAGTAATGCTACTACACCTATGGGTTTACATCTAGGGTTAGTAAACTAAGCAATGATATTTTGTTTTCATAATCAAAACAGAAATAATGATAATATTTTTGTATTAACTCTATATATAAGGGAAGGGACCGGGAGATATTATGTATTATGCTTGATTTGGTTTTAATCAGATTTTAATTAAGTGTGTCAATGGAGACACAGCTGCCTCTTGAAAGCAGACTGGACTTTTGTTCACGTTCATTCTTTTAGTTTCAATACGAATTATGTTGGGTTCTTCCAAATTGTCTAGGGAACTAATGTGTATAATAAAACTTCTTTAGAGAGCCCTTCAATATATATGCATCTTTAGGAGCATTCTTGAGTATAAATGTTAGTTCTTGATTAGAATTGATCTACGCTGTGCATTAGGGAGGTGGAGTAGTTTAGAAAGGGAATGTTCTCCTTATTCCTAAACCATCAAGCATTTTAAAGCTTCTCTTGTGGGAATTTCTTGTGTAACTTACTGATTTAGGCAAAGTGCTCTTAGGTGGGTGGCTGACTGAGTATCATTAAAACCGGATGGTTACTAAATCAATAACCGTGTGATAATGAGCTATGATCCTATGAACTTCAAAATTCTTTGGCTTGGGTCTTATGCCAGATCATTTTCATAGTCATCAAAATTTTGTTATACATTTAATTCAGATCAGTGCTTCGATAATTTAGTGACAACTATGAAAGCAGCTTAAAGACAACAGTACAAAGGTGTACACACAGGAGATATAGCATGGCCAAACTGGGAAAAGAAAGAGCAACAACAATAACTTACAGAGGAAAGTACCAAAAGGCCTTCGGCCTAGCGGTATCGTAGTCCTTGGCCTCCTAGGAGGTCAAGGGTACAAACCTCACCAACGGTGAGGAGAGTGTGTGAGTTTATTTATTGCATTTGCCGTATATAAATATTATATATTTCCAAAAAAAAAAACTTACAGAGGAAAGATATAGAGCTCTCTGCCCAATTGAACTGATCATTGATCCCTCTTCATTATGATTAGACTCTAAACAGGGACATATAAGATCTAGTTCGATTTAAGCAATGTTTCACTCTGGCTGGCTATCCTTTTAAAAACCAAGTCTTTCCTTTCAACCTCAGGATTTTTATGATTAAATTGCATCTGATCATCATCGTACAAGTCTAAACTGAAGTGAATGGACGATATCCTTCTTTTGAAGCCACCTGGATGCATGATCTGTTACGTATTATCTTTGGAGGGATCTATCAACTTATGCTGTTATACACCTTATTAACTGGTGAGAACCTAATTATATATGGCAGGTTATTCCACGGCAACTTTGTGATAATGCAGGATTCGATGCAACAGACGTACTTAACAAACTGAGGCAGAAACATGCACTTGCTGATGGTTCGCCGTTTCTCATTGCATTTTATTGAGTTGTTTTTATGTTTCTATCTGTCAACTAAAGGGCGACCAAATTTCACTAAAGCTCTTTGATTTGCAATGATTATTTTGGGAAAGAAATTGTTTGTAAGCAGTCTTTACCTTCAATTTTTTGAAGACGCTGTTTCATGACTTGAACATGTGACATTTCAGTAAAAATAGATCAACCTTACCATTTGTTCTAAAGGTCACCCGTTTCTGTCTCTGAACTTGAAGTTTTTCGGAAGTTTATATCACGTCTGTCCATCACATCGCAACACGGATCTAAAAGATGCAACATGGTGGCGGTGGTATGCCATGGTGCATCTCTGATGCCATGTTGACCCCTGTGGTGGCTGTGTAAGGTGTGATCTGCACCATCACGTTTTGTGGTGTGTCATGGCACAGGTTTTTTCACATCATTTGACACTTCAATTTTTAAATATTTTTTCTTAATAGGTTGCGTTATGTTTACTTTTTATGTTTCTATGAGCCTTTGTTATAACACTTTTTGCAAACTCTATACTTGATCCCACCCCTATATATAATTATATATATGATATACTTGCCGCCTTAAGCAACTTCTTGAAAAACGCCATCTCTCTTACAATATGCTCTCGAATTTCGGAAGAGAAGAAAAGAAAGGAAAGGGAGGGAAAAAATGGAAGGGAAAAGAAAGGAAGGAAAGAAAGTTTTATTTGTGTTCTTGAAAGGGAGGGAAGGAATGAGAGGAAACAATTTTTTATGTTCTTGAACCGGAGAGAAAGGAAAGGAAAGATGTCATTTGGACAAATATAGCCATTATATTTGTTTTTCTCAATTTTCTTATGAGGGTATTTTTGTTGTATAAGATCATAGACTCCTTTTAGATTTTCTTTCCTCCCTTCCCGCATTTTGGAGGAAACATAAATTATATTTTTCCCGATAAAAAGTTTAGAGAACACATGTTTTTTTTTTCTTCCTCTCCTTTCTTCCGCTTTCCTTTCTTTTACTTCATTAAAAAAGGTTTCAAGAAAACAATGCTAAGGCTCGAGGCTCGATCTCACAGCCTGACCATGCCTCGCGCTATTTAAATCTTGATCTCATACAAGTGAATTTATGCATACTTTCTTTTCTTTTCGGTACAACTAGTTTTACTTGTTCTGCTATATGTTATAAACAGGTGAAGGTGCTCTTTATGGTGTGGATATAAATACAGGTGGGATCGCTGATTCCTTTGCAAACTTTGTTTGGGAGCCAGCAGTTGTAAAGGTATATATTTACTTGTCACCTGGTTGCTTGTTAGATATCAATTGTCTTTTTGGTGTGGATATTTTATGCTGCAGCAGTAAGTTATGCTGACTTGGTTCTTATTCCAGATCAATGCTATAAATGCTGCAACTGAGGCAGCATGCCTCATCTTAAGCGTTGATGAGACGGTGAAGAACCCAAAGGTAATGACATTTTCTTGTCACTCAAACTAATATATTGAGTCTTCCCCTGGTGACGATTTTGGTTTATAATCAAATGCACAACAAGGACATATATACATTCTACTCTCCTTTTCAGTGGATTTGTCAGATTCTAGGTCATAAAGCAAATTCATCAATCATGTTAGTGATGGTGCTTGGGTAGGATTTAACCTGTTGTAGGAGATGATTTGAATATGATAGATAGTTAGAATAATATTGTATAACTATATTGCTAAATAGTGGCAATATCGAATATTTATGTGATTCCCAATCCCATTTGGGCCCAGAAGTTAACAACCAAGAGAACCTCCAATGACCCTGAGGGGACTCAAACCAGTGATCAACGAAGAGCGAACCCAAGGTCTTATCAGTTGAGCCACCACAAAGGGTTATTCTACTGAATAAAAGCAAAACCATTCTATTGTTTTGCTTTTACCGGTAGAATCAGTTCTCATTTACTTTTATGGTTGGTCAAGACACCTATGTTTCTGTGGTTGTTTTGATCTTTTGAACGCCTTACGCTGTTGGTCAAGCTGGTGAATCTTTCTGTGTTGCTATCCTCTTGAAAGTTGTTTTTATTTGTTTTGAATTTCAAGTATTTGATATTTATTTTCTTCAAATTGGATAAGCCTTCTTGTTTCTAGCTTTGTCCCATAACTCATGAGCCCTTTGGCCTTCTTTCTCTTTAAAGAGTTAACCACCGTAACATCCTATCTTTTTGTTTTTTAAATTTTTTATATTGTTTATAGAAGCTCGACTTACCATAATTGTTGATAGAAATTCATTTAAAAAGTCGAAGATTAATTTCCTCTCACAAGGGTATGCTTTTAGGTAGGACTCAACTGAATTTATTCGCGGCTAGTATTGTTGATGGTTACAATTTAAAAAAGGCAGAGAAGTTACAGTGTCTCCCTAATGTACTTTATTAGCCTTATTTCTCACAAAAGATGCACTTGATTTAGGCCATGTTTAAGCTAGCTTATTTTTTGAGCTTATTTAAAAAAATTCTGTTTGGCAAAGCCATAAAGTAGCTTTTGAAAAACTACTTCGGATAACTTGTTAATAAGCTACAGGGGCATGTTTTTACCTTTTTCCGATTATGCCTCTTAGATGTTAGAATTGAGTAATTTTTCAACATATTCTTTTAGGTCATTTGACAGTCTTTAGTTCATCAGCTATTTTTTTTTACCAAACGTGACTGGTTCATCAACTAGCTTATCAACTAACAAGTAGCTTATTAGCTGGCAGCTATAGCTTTTCAGCCAACAACTCTCTTATAAACTGGTTTGGCAAATATAGCCTTAGGATGCTTTAGTGTCTATGTATAAGATGTACCTAAATGTGTTCATTCCATGCAAACTAGAAATGTTCTAAACTCAGAATGCAGAGAGTTGAGGCATCTTACGAACATGTTTGCCGTCTGAAAGATCATACCGAGTACATAGCATGGTGTTACTTGGTTTTTATTTTTATTTAGTTTTGGTTACTGGTTGGTTGTTAACCGTTATCTGTTTGTAATGCAGTCAGAGAGTGCACAGGGAGAAGCTGCTGCAGGAATGGGCAGAGGGCGTGGTGGTGGACGTGGACGAGGAATGCGGAGGCGTTAGAAGTTTGTGAGTTTTACCTTTCGAAAAAATCAACCAAATTTTATTAGAACGATACTTTATCCTGATAGAACCCATAGCTTTTCGGGTTAAGTCTTTGTCATGAACATTGACAATCCGCTTTTTCCTAGCCTATCTGCCCGCCATTTTGTATGAAACCATCTTGTAGTCTAGGTCCTTAAGTTTAGGAGAGAATTTTCCCTTTCTTTCGTGTAGTTTGATTTTAGGATTTCAGATGCCATACGTGATTGTAAAACATGGGTCATTGCAAGTTCATTTCAGGTCTGAAAACCAAGGCCAAAACAAAAGTGTTGGTATGGTATTTGACCGAAATAGAAAAAAAGTGATCCGTTAAGTGCTTACCTTAACGGTAATCACATAAGAGGTCTCAGTTTCGGTCTTGGGTGAATGCAATTTTCGTCTTTCATGATGACCGTGGGACCGGTGAGCTGATATGCCCGATGCTACACATTAAATAACCATTATGGTAAATTCTATGATCTCTATTTCCATGTGGTGGTCGAGATTTATATTGGGTTCATGTCAATTTTATTTCAAATCATGAAAGAGATTGGACTTGATTGATGGTCTTGCATCCGGAGAGGAGTTTTTTTTTTCATACCGTACAAGGTGTTGCTTATTTTTGGCTTAATTGGTTTATTCATACAGCCGTTTTAGAGGGGTTTCTTGCGGCTTAATGGAAAAAGACCTACCTTATTCGGTAAGCTGGGTAACCTACTTGTCCTTGTTCAGCCATAAAAATGACCTCCCCTACCCTTGTTGAAAACAATGCCATCTCCCCTTTCTTCCTTACAACTTTAGCGGCTCCTCTTTTCTCCCGATAGAACTTCCCACGATCACTGTGCACGGTGGTTTTTAAACCTCCTGACCACCATCATCCTCAGGGGCGAACCTATTCATGCCTGCTCAACTAAAATTTTCAAGCGTATTTTTTGGGTATGAAAGGTGTATCTACTAAACTTGAGCGGTGCTCTAGTATACAAGAAAATACACATAACATCAACCAAAAAAGCCCCCTGAAAACAACCAGAAACTTTTAAAAAAATCCCTCATGCCCTGTAGCATGGCTTTGCTTGCTGAAGGGTGTACCAATGTGAGACTTCGAACAAGCCTCCAAAACTTTGAGGCCTAATTATACATGCTTTTGTTTCAAGCCTATGTTTTAACTCAATTCCTTTGGCATTCTCCCTCTTATTTTTGCCCATTTGAGCAAGTATAATGCATTTTTGCCCATTTGAGCAAGTATAATGGTTTGGTTGTTTAAACCTGTGCCTCAATTTCTTCTCTCTTTTACCAGATTTAGCGATTCGCTAGTTCTTGGTTATGATTGCAGATCTGCAATCCCTTCTCCATAGTTCTCTAATTTGATGATTGACCTCTGACTAATTTTATGATTGAAATATCAAGCACGATTTTGTTTAATAATCTCTCTTTCTTGTTAGTTGACTTCATCCATTGTGTGATGTTGATTACCGCTGTTCATAGCACTATAGCTAGCGTCTTTATAAAACTCGAGGTACCAATCATTGACAAACTCCCATATGCTAATCCTTTCATTTTAATAATTTATTGGAGAAAGTTGATTATGAAAGAATTAACAACGTTTGAATAATGATCCCCTTTACATGAAATTAAGACATTTTTGTTATTTTTATTTGTAAGGTGTTCAATATAATATATGATATGAACTTTTATAGTTTGTTTTATTCATTACTTGTCCATTCAATTTATAGTCTTGATACAAATGTAACAGAGTCTCCAAAAAGATTGAAACAACCCTACCCTGCAAGTAAAGAGACATTTTATCTTTGTATTCTTGTTGTAGACAAAAGATTGTGTGAGAAAAAGAGTTAAGGTGAGAAGTGTAAGAAGGAATCTCCAGTCTTGATCACTTTTAGTCTCATGCCCACCCATGAATTGCATTTTAGAAGAAAATTGATCCGGTGCATCTTGATGCATCTCACTAGTGTTGATCTTCAATTAAGATTGATCCAAAGAGGAAAATCATTTCTTATTCTTCTCACCGTAACTTATTTTTTCACTTAAACTCAATCCTCCTATTATATACCTTTAGTTAATGATTTTATTCCTGATTTCTGTTCCTTTTTTGGATATATGTTCGATGTTATGATTCATGTTCCTGTTTTAGTCACTACATGATAATCCAGACGTACACCCAAAGGTCTGACAAAATCAGCACCTATGCACAATCGTAGTCAAAGAGCATGCAAAATAACAAGGGACTTTTAACCACTTTATCACTATACTTCAAAAAAAAAAAAAAAAAAAAAAAAAAAAAAAACTATTCCATTTTAAATGGTTAAGTTTTTAAACTTTTCTTTAAATTGATAAATTCTTAAACTTTTTGAAATCGAAAAAATAAATTCGTAAATATTTTAAAACCGAAGAAACTCAACGAACTTTCACATTTTAAATGATTAAATCATTAAATATTTTTTTAAACCAAATTCTTACACTTATAGAATGAAATAATATATTATTTCTCAATCAGTAGCAAATACAATAAACCAATATTAAAATGATTAAAATATTATTTTCATGACCCATTATTTACTTTTTAGATTTAGATTATACTAATAATTTTTTTTTATTCAAATAACAATCACAAGATCATAATAAACACATGTGATTGTCATCTAAATCTTAAAAATAACTTTCTACTGATTAGTTGATACACGACAAAAGAAATGGTTAATTTTTTTTTCGGCTTACAAGTGTCGGAATTTCTTCATTCAGAAAACGTTTAGAGACCTAATAACTTAAAATATGAAAGTTTGTTGGGTTTTCTCGTTTTTGGCAAATTTAATGATTTATTTGTTCTCCAAAAAGTTGAATGATTTATTTGTTCAATAAAAAATTTAAAAACTTAATCACATAGGGGCCGTTTACCAAACGCTCGTCCAGGTAAGTGCTTACCAAATCACACTACCGTAGCGGATAAATATGGTAAGTACCTAGAATCTTATCCGGTAAGAACGTGACAAGGAACAAGAGTCTTACCCAGTAAGTGAGAGCGACGACTCTTACCATCGTAAGCGCTTACCGGGTAAATTGTTGCATACGATACCATTTTGATGGACTAAAATTTTACCCGGTAAGTCAAAGATAGTATTAAATTTTACTGATAAACGCTTACCGAATAAGTATTAATAAACGACCCCATAATTAAGTTTTTTTAGACTTTCCTCTCATCCTACTTGCCCTTGGACCTCTATTGGTGTCAATGCTTACCATCCTACTTGCTCTTACACCTCTATTGGTGTCAATGCTTACCATCAAAAGGCGAATTAAAAGGAGCAAGTCCCTTGGAAGTTCATGGTGTGGAAAGGGGTATATCCCTAAAAAGTGAAGTTTTTTCATTTTTGTACTATTTAATTATGTAGGAAGAATCTCTTGCACTTTACATTTGTGCATGATGTCCATTTCATGTTGTAAATTGCTATTAATATTTTAGCGCTCATTTGCATTTTAATGTTTTTGAAGGTTATGTTATATATGCATAATTATAGATAGATTGAATGAGTAATAAAAGAATATATAATGTTTATATCATATATTAAAAGTATTACAGACTAACATAGCAAAGTGTTCTAAAATTACAAAAATAACATATGAAATTTACTTAAAAAGAATCATTATTTGAAAGTAAGACTTGGGAGCTACCAATTCGGTTAAAAGAGTAAAACCTAAAGTATTATAATTGGACCAAAAGTTAAAACAAATATAATTAGGTAAAGGTAAACATGTATAATCGGGCTTCAGAAAGAGTAGGGGTCTTGTTCTGTATATCATGTTGGAACACCCTCTGGCATGTTATTACTTACAGTATAAGGTAAATGCCACATCTCATGAAAATAATATAAGTATAAAAAATTTATAAATTGCTATTATATGTTTGTTTTTGGTACGAAACAAACGGTGAAACACAAAAGTACAAAATAATTAGGATCATTTGGAATAATCCTGATATGATGAGAACTTTCCTTGAAAGTTGTATTTCTGGGGCTGGTTTCAACATGATAAGGTGGTTGGTTGAGGGCACTTTCAAGCAAGAAAATTGTTGATAACCTTCAAAGCACTAGATATGACCCATGCATGATCGTCACCATGATATCTCTAACACCCAAATGTCATACATCTGGCTGTATGCCTTAATTGAAGTGGCGAAACTATGACAATGGATAGAATGAGAGATATCAGTTTGATCCTTTATTCCTGGGATCATATTTGCCTCCCTCGTGTCCTTCATGGAGAACTTTGATGAAAAGAATTCGTTAGTATTATCCACTTGTCTTTGGTACCAAAAATTAACATGTCATCAATGTACAAGTGAATGATCACCCCTTTATCGAATGCATCAAGCCTGCTTTATACACACCTGTCATATTGATAACCATTGGACAAGATAACCTCATCAAAGCTTTCATGACATTGGTTTGGTGCTTGTTTCATCCATATAATGATTTAATTATTTTACACACTTTATGGTCATTATTGTATGTAAACCTTTTATAAATCTCCATTAAGAATGTTGTCTTGACATCTATTTTGTGAATCACTAGGTTGGAATAGTCGTCAATACTACAAAGAATCTAGTAATAGAGACTTTTGCAACTGGACACAAGTATCAAAATAATCGATTTCCAACCCCAAAGGTTTTAAACTTTTCAATTAAGCCATCAACTTTCAACTTTTTTATAGATCCATTTGCAACCCCGAAGGCTTGCATCCTAGTTGTAAGCACTATAAGACTCACGTGTTATTACCTATTATGCAGTACATTTCATTTATTGCATCCAGGTAGGGACTGGGATCGACCCAACGTTCCTTAACCAGTTACACTTTTCTGGAAAATTCACGGCCCTACCTGTTCGGGACCGATTATACAAAGGCGCTGGATTAAAAAAAAAATAAGTTCTTATAAATTATATATCAAGTTTTTCAAGATTCCTACAAGACTTTCAAGTTTTTTTTTTTTTTAAGTTTTTCAAGTTTTTTGTAAATGTTCCAATACTAAATCTCGAAAATTGTAATTATAGAACATCTGTAACATTTTGTAAAAAAAAGATTAAAAAAATATTTTTAAATGTATTTGAATTACCAATTTAGAGATTTTAAAATGTATTCAAATAAGATATTGTCCACAAAAAGAAAATCTTCAAACACAATTTCTTTTACGTCCAAAATTGATTTTTGGGAAAAAAATTGGACCTACTACAAAACACATAGACCGGGTCATGGGTTTTTGGTCGGGATCGGGACCGAT